GTGATCAGTAATGCATACAGGCAGGGGTGGAGCTAGAAGAAAAGATTCGTGGGGGCAAAAATTGAAAATTACTAGGATTTTTTTGAAAAACTATTCAGCAAAATTTGAAATTCTAAATTTAGTATGGGGGCAGCTGACCCCACTGCCCCCACACTAAATCTGCCCCTGCATACAGGAGTGCAATAATGTCTATTACTAGTCAACATTGTGATCACTTCACTATTTCAATATTCGGATCCATTCGGTTCATTAGTGATATCTGAGATCTAAAATTTGATTGGGGGGAGTCAACTTATTCTTCTTTTCCTTCCTTTTTCTTACACGCCAAGGAATGAAAAGTTGGTGCCTGGAGTTAAAAGTACCTTCAGCAATTTCTGGATGTGATACTAGTAAATAAATGTTTCTGCACCCTTTAATCTGTCATTTTTGAGGAAGATCATGTTTCAACTGCAATCCATCTTTGTTACATGAAGTAGTGTAATAATTGCTCATGCTGAGTAATTTGTTTTGTTACAATAGTCTCGGTTCTTCAAAATATTCTGATGCAAGTCAATTGCTTTTCTGGGGCTTACTGGTAAATCATTTATAATGTATTTGCTTTGCTTCTGACTTGGCAGGATTTCTTTGGGAAACCTGCATTTCTAACTGTATCTGGGCAACTGAATGCTGAAGCATATGCTACTGCTCTTTCTGATGTATGCTTTTCCTCCCAATCTTTTCAATTTAATATGCCATCATACTTTCCGCCTTCTACCTCTCTTCCCTTATTTATCCTCAATTCCAACTGTTATGCAAAGTTCAAACTATTTCAGGGTTGCAGTTGGTTTTTGCTTTTGTTTTGTTTAAAGTCTGACAGTCATTTCCTCTCTACCAGGTGTATACATTTGGTCCAACATTTAGAGCAGAAAATTCCAACACTTCTAGGCACCTAGCCGAGTTCTGGGTATATTTATTATTCCCTTTTAACTTTTGAGGTTCAGTTCCATCAGTGTTTAATTATTTCCTTGCGGAAAATCAGTGAATAATGATTCATATCCAATATGGAAAAAAGTGTTAACAGTTAATTTCCTTTCTAAGATGATCGAACCAGAACTTGCATTTGCTGACTTAGATGATGACATGACATGTGCAGCTGCATATATCCAGTATGTAGTATGTAACTTTTTACATCTATTATCTGCTTATTGGAAATACTAAGATTTGTCTTGTACTCATCTAATGTGTCTGTTTTAACATGAAAGGTGGAGTATATTCTAGAGAACTGCAAGGAAGATATGGATTTTTTCAATACTTGGATTGAGAAAGGAATCATCAAACGCCTGAGTGTAGGGGTTTCCAGCTTTTTACACTAGACATTGCGTCATCCTATTTTAACTTATTTGTATTTTTGTGAGGGCATCTAAATACTTTGCTTTTGACACTTTCCTTTACATGTAGATACTTGTGTTTCTGATGGCTTGTACTTTTTCGATAATATGTCCAACAGGATGTTGTTGAGAAAAACTTTGTTCAGCTGACTTACACTGACGCAGTTGAGCTTCTCCTGAAAGCAAAGAAGCACTTTGAATTTCCGGTACTTGCAATTTCTTGGTAGTCATGTCTTTTCATGATTGTTCTTGTTTGCAGTCATGTCTTTTCGTCCCAAGTCTTCATGTGACTGCTATCATAAGTCAGTTTACGATCTTGTGCTGTACCAGAACATAGACTGTACTGATTGTACAAGTGCATTAATTATACTTTGGGAAAAATCTATATGTACTTGTTAATCACTTGAAACAAAATCAGTGTCTAATCTAGTTAGGAGGGTCATTCTGCTAGCAAGATAGACCCACTAAAACCAATGTGAGAGTTTATTACACACTACCTTAACTTCTCATGCATAATTTTCTCCCTCCTAGAGTAATTTACGCCATTTGCTGATTCTTCTTCTGAGTAATCCAGTCAGTCTCTTGTATACTGAAGACTGGACAAAATGGATAATTTTACCTAGCACGTCATTTTATCAATCAGTTGCTTGCATTTCTGATTAGGTACAATGGGGATGTGATTTACAAAGTGAGCACGAACGATATATCACTGAAGAGGAGTTCGGTGGATGCCCTGTAATTATTAGAGACTATCCAAAGGCATGAATATTGGCCTAAACACATTAACAGTAATCTCTATATAGAACTGGTTATTAATGCTTATCTCTCAAAAACTACCAGGAGATCAAGGCATTTTACATGCGGCAAAATGATGATGGAAAGACTGTTGCAGCCATGGATATGCTGGTTCCTCGGGTACTACTCGGTTAATAATTTTTTCTGGGACATTATATGACTACACAGTTGCACAGCCCATTCATCGTCTGAATTTAATAAAAGTTGATTCTTAATCCTGGACGTGTTCTGCATGTAATGATATACATATAACTGCATATAGCATATGTACACATGGTGGCATGAGTTATTAATTACAGAGTAACTTTGGAGTACACATTTTTCCGGTCGTTGAAACATCCACCTTTGCATCCTGGATGAGCAATCAAGCACATGGTGTGTACTCTATGACCTTGTTTGATGAAATAATCAGGTGATCTTTCCTTTTAGAGGAAAATCATTGTTAACTAAATAGCACATGGTGTGTTTCAATTGGGTGTACGAGTGCAGCTAGACTTGTAAACTTTCTGCTGTATGTTTTGGTTCGATTCCACCATCACACCCTTTTTTGCCCGTCAAACATTATTCTTTTAAACTAATCATTAATACCAAGTCTTCATTTTTGTGTCTTTTGGGTGCGTCCTGGTTTTTTATAATAGTCCAAGATGCCTTTATTTGGTGAAATTCTGTTTTTCCTTCATCAAATTCTAAATTGTTTATTTGGCTGCCTGACATGATTTTCTTCCCCAGGTAGGTGAACTTATTGGTGGAAGCCAAAGAGAGGAGCGTCTTGACTATTTGGAAGAACGGTTGGATGAATTGAAGCTCAACAAGGAGAGCTTTTGGTGGTATCTTGACTTGCGGCGTTATGGTTCAGGTGAGGGACCTTTACATAATTTGACACAATTCTCATGTTGCAGTTTCATTTCAGCTTTTAGTTTCTGTGAAAGACCCTGCAACTTCGTATACATAGCAATGGTTTCAACTGGTGTGTTAATACTACTCAACTGCTATTTGTTTTTTAAAGTAAAACCTGTATTTTGAATCAAAATCCTGTAATTAGGTTTTAGTGGGCTAGAATTCTGTCATATCTTAAAGCATGTTTTGGAAGTGTTTTTAAACAATTTATTATAAATAAATATAAATGAGTGGTAGATAAGTGGATAATACTTGTGGGTCCCTCAATATGTGTGGATAAAAGAGTTACGAGTGTTTACAAACAGTTTATAAACATGAGCCAAACATACACAGTCGAATGACATGTTGCTGGGTTTCTGTAGTTTTAGTGTGTTTGAATCTCATTAAAATGAGAGTAAAATTTTTAGAATAGTGATTGATAGGAATGTGTGGTGGAAAAGTGATGAAAAGTTTTAGATTTATGAGTAATTATTTTATTTGGAAAATGTAGTTGAAATGAAGAAATTAAAAATGAGAATGAGATTAAAATGGGTGTCAAATAGGGTCTAATAAACTTAGGAACTTTTTTCCTTTCGTTCTCACCATCCATTTTGTTTCCTTGAATGCTATCAAATTTTGATCGAAATTTTTTATCTCGTCTCCAGTTCCGCACGCTGGATTCGGATTAGGCTTTGAAAGGCTTGTGCAATTTGCAACTGGAATAGAGAACATCAGAGATGCAATACCTTTCCCTAGAACACCTGGCTCGGCTGAATTTTGAAGTTTGGTCGACACTGTTGATAGTGGAGTTGCTCAAATCTCGACTCTGTTTGCAATGAAATTTTTTTGTCCTTTTAAATCTTGAACTTCTGCAGACGAGAATTTAAGATAACGGAGGTGGTTGATGGTTTAGAATAAGTAAATTATTTATGCATTGTATCATGAAGATGATAACCACTGAATAATTTATTTAAGACCAAGTACTGCTTGACTGTTTGGAATGAGCTCCAAATTATTCTCTATTTGAATTTTAAATATATAGAGAGACACATCTGACATCACGAGGAGATAATAGAAATATATGAACTTCTCACTTTTGCCTCTTGGACAACAATTTTTTCATTATTGCAAATATATTTTTTCCTAAAATTTGAATTTGGTCCGATTATTGAAATGTAGGAACAACCTTAAGTTGCATTTTCAAATATTTGCTGCCTATGATCTCAGATTAAAAGATGTCGTTCTATGAAAGGAGCTTTGGTAAGACAGTCCTATAAACACATTATAGAATCATCCATTCAACAAAATTTCAAACATCGAGCCACTCAAAATATGACATATCTCGAGTCGAGTAGCACGAATTTGACATATTTAAATACAGTACTACCATGTAAGTGAAGCTTATCTCCATTCTCGCTATCTACATTATCCTGCTCAACCACAATGTTAAGTGGCATATGCTACTAAGATGGCTTTAATCATTACAGCCTGGAGACAAATCATTCTTGGGAGAAACAAATGCAACAGGGCTAAAAAAATTTGGTGAAACAAATTATTGAATTTGATTTCGTTTATAAATTGGTTGTTGAACTTGATACATTGTCCATTCTCTTGAATTCATTCAGAAGTTACATTCCTTGAACAAATGAACTGTACAGTTTGAACTATTTCTTTGCGGTATGCCAATATTATGAGAGCAGCACGGCATTAACTTTGTGGAGACGAGTGAAACCTATCTCTATAAGTACATCAAACAGCTAGGTAACAACTGATTCTCAACATACAGTGAAGATAATAATCGAGAATGAGAAGGGGCAACAATTGAGAACATAAAAAAGAAAGGAAAAGAACAAAGAAAGACAAAAAAAACTTCGGGTCTCCTTCAAACAAAATGTACCTGGCAATCTTCAGCAGCATGGCGAAATTAGAGAAGCAAAATTTACTATTTACATCCACAGTGCATCAGAGTTCCACTTCATGAAGGTCATCCCCAAAGCCGGGCACATTCATTCCCGGTTGCACTAAAGAAGAGTCTTTTGGCGTGAACGATGAAGGGTGGTTCAATACCTCTCCCAAAGGTTTTACTTCAGCCTTAACTGGAGGACTGAAAGAACCGTCAAAACTTCCACTCCATGATGCTGTACGCCGTGAATGAGCTGAGCCATTGCCACTCGTCGTCTCCATGTTAGAGATGTTGCTCATGCTTGCGAATTTTTGATTGGCCATGGAAGATGGAAGTGCAGGAGACTGGAATAAATCACTTGTAGAGGAAGTAGAAGGATTTTCAGTAGTATATGAAGTATCTTGCATGGTATTTGCAGGAGTGTCTACGGACTGTTCAACAAAGGGTACGGACGTTGGCACAAAGAATTTTGGGTTAGCTGCACTTGCTGGTTTAGCAGAAGGAACAGATGGAGATTGGAACAAATTTGTTGGGTTGCCACCACCCTTGTTAAAGGTGTCAACATACCTGCCAAAACGCAATAAATGAGAGCTCATCAATGGATGCACTATGTTACACCTACGACATGCAGAACACAGCCCAGGCAGTTCATATCATTTATTTCACTTTTCACTCACATTATAAAGACAGAATGAGAACACGTTGAATCAGAATCTATGCTGAAGCAATGATATGTGCACCACATCCCAGGCAGTTAATTTATTTTTTATTTTCATTTATTTCTCTTTTAAACAATAACACTAGCCGTTTCCACAGTTCACCCAAATATGATCAAGAAACAATTTCAAACAGGCAACAGTAGGAAAGCACAACTCTCTATTGCAAGTTTGCAAGATATGCTATAATGGTTTTTGGTTTGCCAAGGCCCATGGCATCGTAAGTAACAAAAATAAAAAAATTAGAATATAATTTAATTCAGAAATTGAATGCCGCTGTAAGCCGTTCTAGACAATTTCTGGACACGTAATATTCCGCTTCACTTAATCCAAATAGAATCGAGAATGATTCAGTCCACGAAAAGAGTGAAAAGAGTGAATTTTAATATTACCGTGATCGAACACCCATTCTTCCACGGGCCGAGAATTGATTGGAGGTTGGAGGAAGTGGTGGCATTCCTGAACTATGATCTGAACTACTTGGACTTTTAATCTCTGCACTTCCATTGCTATGAGAAGTTTCACCCAGTAATGCACTCTTTAAGTTATAATCTGATGTTCCGTTCTGGAAAACTGAAGTTGGTGGTGGTGGTGGAAGGGCTGCTTCCTGAGCTGGAGGTTCAGCACCTTCCTCCACCCATCTCTTGAGTTTCTCGTCATAATAGAACTTGTTTTGTTCACCCAATTTTGCCTACAGAAACAGTGCAATCATGAGAAAACTTTCGTAGGAATCAAATTTAAAATTTGAAGTGCAAGTCACGGACAATTTTGCTCTGAACAAACAACTCAATTGACTTACCTGGCGACCTTGACGGGGTTTCAACACTAAACCTACAGTCTTCTGCAATAGCTGGGATCCAAAACCAAAACGGCCAAAACGAGATGTACTTCCTGCTGCTGATGCTTTAACTTGCTCACCAGTGGAATTAGCTCCCTTTACTGAATCAGCCTGACCCTACACAAATTGGCAAGATCTCATACGTGTTCTACCCAGATTACAAGAACATTTCAACGCATCAATCAATCAGTAAAACTCGGAATTTATTGAGTGGAATGTGAGGCACTGTGATTAGAAGTTAAAACAAACCTGTATTGGACTAAATCCAAAGTTAGGTTCAGAAATACTTCTTGTATGCATTGTCAATTTACTGCCATCAGCTGCCCCTTCACTTATAGACTCCATGGATTGAGAAGGAATTAATGATGACATAGCCACCGTTGATTGACTAGTTGATACCCGAGGTCCCATTAATTGATGATGATGCACTGAACCATGTCCAGTGCCACCTGCTGTTGGCACAGGTGGGGGTAGGCCACCAACAACCCGATGAGCAGTACTATCGAAAAGCGTGAGCAATTTACCCACCAATTTGGCAGGGGCTAAATTTGTGGAGAATCCACCCTGCATTCAGGAAGAGTCATATTTATATCTAGAAAATTTGGTCAAAATGCAAATTAGAGGATATAGAAATACCTGTTGGTGAGCTTTTATCCTTTCCTCAAGAGATAATATTAACTGTCTGAGCGTTTCCACCTCGAGAGATCGACCAGTTTTAAGTGATTTTAATGCTGCTTGACAATATCTGAATTATTAAAGAGTTATGTTAAGACAAGAGGCAAAATATGAAAATTCAACTGAAAACTAGTAGCATGGTAGATACTTCAATGCATCTGACATTCTCCCAACTTCTGCCAACATGTGCGCATATACAAGCTTGTACGGCTGAAATGGAAGAAGGGTGAACTGAGAGTTTCCTAGCATCTTTGAATATTCATAAATCTCTGTCCTCTGTCCAAACATGCAAAGGTCAAGTAAGCTAGTCTCATCACCAATAAACCAAATAAACACAAGCATACGGACTTAATGCATTATATCCAGGCAACTGGCACCATAATTGTCTCTAGTACCACCTAGTTGCCCAGGCTTGGTCCCACTTCCTGGGCAACAATTACCTGGCTAAGTTCATTTAAATAAAACTTCTATGCATCGTTATATGCAATATAAACCTTTAGATAAGTGTCAGCACATGCATATATACTGTACGTGGTTCTTGAGGGGGCATTTTTGTGCCATTTTGAGCATTGTCTACAGTCCGATAGCTATATAAAACATATACCATACAAGACCAAAGGAGAGAGAAATATTGAACAGTTTGTGGAAAAGAGTATAGTGGTAAAATAGGTACTTCCTGCTTGTCATGCTTTCGTTCAGTTTTTGCCTTTTCTTCCTTTTATTTTAAAATGCTGCCGGGAAAATTACCCAATGACCTAGAGGCCAATTTCCTATGCTAATAAGGCATTATGACAACTTTGAGTGGAACAATGCATTATTGGTCACCAACTACTCAGCCAACCTGAATAGCCTCTGGACTAGCATAAGTTCGTGGAAACTTCAAGTGATCTGCGCCAACAAGACAAAGCCTGGCGCTGTCTGAATATGCCTCAAAATTCGCTTCCGCAACCAAATAGCATATGTGAGCCGCTATGATCTGAATGATAATTTCACAGAAAGCAACATACGAATTCCAGTCAGGATGAAATCATGAAAAATAAGAAATAACCGCATCCAGAAAAATAGACCAGAACATACATCACTTCTCTCTTTCCATAAACAATCTCCCAGATGAATAAGCACAAGTTCGTCATCTTTTGTTCTGTTAACAGCTATCACAGCTAAATTTTCTTCCCAGTCATCCAGCATGCCTTTGGCACCAAACTGGGTAAATGACCAAAAGAAGCTTAAAGAATTAATCATTTGAAGCTTAAGATAATTTTCTTTTCATTTCATTAAATATAGGAGAAAGAAATAAAACATGTACATTAAAAGGATCTTCAAGTAAATTTTATTGCAATCTACAGAAACACATATTCAACAGAAACATTCATTGCATACTTGTGCAGGTTGCTGAGGAATATTTATAGCACCAGCCACGCCACCATCAGCTGTGGAATCCGTTGAGAAGACATCAGCTGGTTGACCAGCAATTAGCAGGCATAATGTTCGCAAAGGTGACCCTGCTACCAATTGGCGAAGTGCCATTTGCTTCACAGTTTCAACATAGAACTGCAATGGTAAATCGGTTATAAAAGAAAAAACTGCCGGGAACGGTGTATAAATATTGTATTTATCAAGGTATGATTCAAGCCATTCTATTAGCCAGCCAAAGAAAACAACTCTCGTGCTCACAAACCTGATCGCCCAGTTGTGCAGCAAGAACTAAGGCAGGACCCCACAACTGACCCTCCTGTGCATATTGTAAAGCCTCTTTCTTTCTTCCAGAAACCAGAAGACTTTGAACCTCAGCAGCTGAGGCCTAAAACATGAATTGGAAGTTATTAAGGGATGATGGGTTGTACAAAAAGCAACAAACTCGCAGGGTAGCAATCAAATACCCGCAGTTGTCCTTCAGAAGGCAATTGCTGCAAGCAGTTGGAAACAGAACCATATTGACTAAATTGTGTACCATTCTTTTTGGCAGACGCAAAGAGTTTGGCAACTGCAGATTCTGGAACATCAGTTTCCTATCAAAATAGCAAAACAGAGAAAGAAAAAAAAACCAGATTAGTGAATACAATGTTTCGATCAACAAACAAAGGAGACATCTTCCAGAAAAAAGGCCTTATACACTACTGAGAGGGTACCTACGGTACATGGGATTCTCCTAACCCTACGCGCTTTACTGTTCAGAGAGTATAGTAGGACTGTAGGAAGAGTGATATTTACTCAGGCAACTTGACATCGTATTAGAAACAAGCCAAATCGTTTAGTGAATTAAATATCCAGAAACTCGGACATATTTACTAAGATAACTTTTAACTTTCTTCAAATATATTCCAAATGCCAAGTTTTGTGCACAAACCAAACAAATACAGCTGGTGAACAGTCTGGAAAAAAAAAAAAAAAAAACCAGCTTCCAGTCTCTCCTCCATCAAATTGTCAAAAGCACTTAAACATGCCCTAGATAGACTCGAGATTGTAAGTGGGCCTTTTGATAGAGAAGAAACATTTATCTTATTTACAAAGTCTTGTGGCTCAGGGTTGTTAAAGTCTTTCAGACATGCTAAAGCATGCCAATAAAAGTTTTCCATAATTTGAGTAAGACCCAGCTTCTTTAGTGCATCAAAACTCAAGGATGTGTGAATGATATATATACAGATCAATCGAAAAATAATTAATAAGGGGATCCAGTGAAGATCCAATGTGATTATAAAGTCCGTAACCTCAAGTGAACCCCCCTGCATTTACAAGACAAATATGTGGCATACCTTCAAAGCTGCGTCAGTACCAAAAGGAGATCGAAGTTTCCCATAATACTGACAAGCTATCTTAAGCAAAGACAAGAGCAACTTCAAAACTTCTCCCTTCCTGTAATCCATATCAGGAGACTCAGAATTCATTATCCTCTCATCAATCCATCTGTTCAACTCCTTAACACCAACACTTCCACCAGTAAGAGGACCAGGGAAGGATTGTTTACAGAGAACCCGCAAATAACTACCACCACCCATTCCAATGCTTGAAGAATCAACTTTTTCGTTGACAACTTCTGCTAAGTTGAGAACAGATATTGAACTTCCAACAGGGTTCTTCACATAAAATACACAGAACATATTCAGCGAGTACAAGTAATACCATTAAGAAAACTAGAAAAATATAAATCTCAGACTAACCTGGCTTCCAAATGTTGAACTCTCTATAGCGCTATTATCTTTCATCACAATGAGCTTTCCACCAAAACCAAAAGTGACCAAAGCATGTGAAGGCCGGCCTGCAGATGATCTTCCAGTAGCAGGAGCAGACGAGAATTGGTGGGCACTCTGCAATTGTTTCTGAGAAAAATTAAGGTTACTCTGATTGCTATAGTAGTCATTTGGGACATGTTTGTGCTCATTTTGGTTGATTCTCGGCTGATTAAACTGATGGCTAAAGTTCCCAGCAGGAACAAAACCTTGTGGCACAGCACTTGTAGAGAACTCATTCTGACCTTGACTTGCATTCCCAAAATACGAACTTGCTCTCTCACAATCAACAGTTCTTTGTCGGCTACCTTGACTGCTAGCAATAAAGTCCTGCCCATGCTGAGTCTCCAACTGTTGGTTTCTGTTATATTGTGAAGTAGAGTCACTAATGGCAACAGTTTCAGGCTGCCACATAGCTGATTTCTGTTGATTGTAATTACTGAAGGACCCCGCCCAGTCGTGATGCTGGCCTTGGCTGCTAAAACCTTGAGATTCATAGTTATTAACTTGGTCATATCCATTGTATGTCTTCTGATCATTGTTATGAGAAACTGTTTCGGTAGAGGCATATCCATTCTGATTCACCTGGTCTTGAGCTTGAGCGGGCTCAGCAGTTGAAGTGTACGAGTCCAAACTGCGCCAATCCTGGGCAATAGTATCATAATACCAACCAGGGTATTCAGGATAAAACACCATATGCTGTGGGTATCCGTTGTTTGCTTGTGAAGCCTGATTCCAATCAGATACAGCCTCAGTAGTATCATCACTCACTTGTGAAACTTGATTCCAATTTTCTTTGCCAGTCATAATATCACTCGGCTGTGATACCTGATTCCAGTTAGTAACACTCGCAGTCGTAGCATTCTCAGCTACAGTCGCAGCTATAGACTGAGCAGATTTCTGCAAGTAAGAGACATCTGCATTACCGTGAGATTGCCCCCAATCAGAAGTCAAATTAGAGACAACATTTGCTTGCACGCTCACACCTGCATCATAACCATCCACCTGATACCACTGGCCAGTATTTTGATCATACTTCCATCCGGGATAAAGATTCTCCCAATATTGACTGCTATTCATATCCTGCCCGGCTGTACTCTGATCTGCAGTTGTACTCTGATCTGCAACTGTACCATAATTATATCCCTGTTGATTCAGCAGGTAGGTAGTTGAATTTTCAACATGTGCAGATCCATGTACTTCATTCCCAGAAGCAACCTTGGACTCAAATTGTGAACTATTCCCCACATTTCCAAATGCATTACCAGCAATATCCCCTCCTAAATCAGTGAAAAAATCCGAATAGGATCCAAACCCTTGACTATTATTCTGAGAAAAATCAGCATGAAATGCACTCCAGTCTACCTCTTTAACTCCTGAACCCCCCAATCCACCATCACTCTTACTCGTCACCATGGTATTGGACAAGACCTCAGCCTCTCCATTCCCATTCTCTGATTTGTGTATCAAACTATCAAACTCAAATGACTTTGCAGACTCTAATGTACTTATACTCTCTTCCACAGTCCCCACCATCATTGTCCCGACTTTCTCAGTTTTCCTGCTTAAACCATCAATCCTAGTACTAGTGCTATTATCATCTTCGTTATTAGCATCATTAAACTCACAATTATTATCAACCTGAGCAATACTCAAATTCGCAAAGGCCTTAGCCTCATCAGATTCGTTCCCGTTGGCAGAATAGGGGCCTACCACTGCCGACAAAGTGTTAACAACCTTAAAGTCCACATCATCTTCATCATTTACCAATTTGTCGAAGAAATCCTCATCAGTGTTATCCTCCACCATGAATGGAGGAGGATTTGAAGCCATCTACTCAAGCCCTAACCCTAATCCGCAAAATCACAAAAATTTCACCCAAAAAAGGAAATCAAGACCCAATTTATTCGAGCTAACACTGAGATCCAAAAACAAAAGCCGCCGAATTCCAAAAAAATCCAAATCAATCAAGATCAAGGGTTTTCAGATCACCCAAATTCCACAACCATCAAAAGAACAAGAAACACACAAAACTCCCAAAATCTGATTTAATTCAAAAGCAGCCCATCTCACGAACGACACAAAATTCATGGAGAAACCACTCAACCAACAGATCAAACTGATAATTCGCAAATCAAACCAAATACACGCATTAAAAAAAACCTTTCTGCATGTATATTCTATAGAGAAAAATAGAATTAAGAGAGAGAAAGTAGAGAGACAGAGAGAGAAGACAAGCCCTTGATTTCGCACCTGGAGGTCTCTACAACCCACAAAAATTCTTGGTTTCTTACAATGTATTGTGTATGTGTATATACACACGTAATAATTATATAAAAAAATTGATTCCTATATATAAAATATAAATTCCTGCTATTGGGATTTATTTTTACTGCGAGTTAATTAATCGAAGGTGGGAAATTGGACAGTAAATTTTGCGAAAATTTTGGAGTGAAAATTGCTTTGTGTTTTTTGGGGATGGAGAGTGTGTGATAGATTGGCAGCATTTATATATGTAGGGTTAATACGAGTCGGCTTAGATATATTACACTATAGGCGAGTGACGAGTCATGCAGCGAACGGGAGGCACATGGTGCACAATTAGGTGGGGTGATGGGTTGGGAATCAATCAATGCATGTGCCTAGTACATGGACTTCTACCCATTTATGCGGGAGTGTTAATTTAATTAATGCTCGTCAAACTTTACTTTATGTTATATTATTATTCTCAACTAAAGGAATATGTCATGTGGCGGACGGAATACAACATAGCTCATAACACACTTTCAATAGTGCCAAATGGGCCAAAAGTGTAAAAAGCCTCCCGTTGATGGTTGTTGAATAGGGTATCTAATCCACTAATTCAAGATGCTCGATTAGGATCAATAAGAAGTCTTTAATGAAAATACGGCTATGATGTAGCCTGCAATTTAAAATTAGGGTCATCTAATGTGTTTGTAAACTTGCACTATTAAAGAAGGTTGCTCAAATGAAGAAATATGTATGATGTTAAACTATATTTCAGCTGAGATTTTGAGGGCGATTTTTAGGGTTCATGGGATTTGGGACGATTCTTCCATTGATTGAGAAGCGTATTTATGATGCATGTGACTTTTTACACTTTTGACCCATTTGACATTATTTGTGTTATGTGCCACATTGGATTCCGTCCGCCACGTAGCATATTCCGTTAGTTAGGATGTCAGAAATTCAACTATTGATAAAAGGATAATCAATTGAAAAGATGAGTGAGCAATGTGTAATGTTTTATTGTTCAGTAAACAAATAATAATATAAAGTAAAGTTTGATGAGCATTCATTAAATTTACTCTTTATCGGGGTATTTATAAAAATTGTATTAAATTATATTTTGAAAAATTGAAATATTCACGCAATGTATTGTTTAAATACTAAGTTAATTTCAACTCTCACCTTTAAAATGAAACAAGTTGTGTACATTGTCAATAAATAATAACTCAAATTGATAAATCAACGTGTACACTCACTTATTAAACTTTCCAATTTAAGATGGTGCCCAAAAATTTAAAATGAAGTATATTTTTATGAAGCTCAGGATCATAGTATATTTTGTAAATACTGTTACTTTCAACTATTGGCTCTAAAAGGAAACAAATCCGTCGCAAAGTCAAATATACAATAATCGAAACGATTAAATCATCTTATGCACTCACTTACTCAACTTCATAAACTTTTCAATTAAAGATAGTACCCAAAAAATTAAAATAGAAGTATGTTTATATGAAGGTCACGATCTCAATATATTATTTAAATACAAAGTTAGTTTCCATTTTTGCATTTAAAAAGAAACAAATTGAATGCAAAGTCAATACAATAACTGATATTGTTAAATAATTATATGCACTCACTTATTCAACTTTACAAAAAAATTCAACTTACCCCGTTTGGACTCCATTATTCTAGATTATAATGAAAGAAATAATAATTTTTTAGAGAATTAGTGATTAAAAAGAAATGAATTTATTTAGATTTACATATAATATTATTTTATTTACGAATGAAGTAAGAAAAAGATGAATTTTAATTTACTTGGGCCAAACAGGGCACGCCATCACCTATCTCACTTCAGTCCTTGCAGCTAGACAAAGAACTCCACGTGTCGGATGGAAATCCGACACAGTACATGCCGTTGATTGTCGGCATGTTGGACAAAAAAGCTATTGAGAGTAGGACTTTTCTTTCAATTATTGAAACAGTGCTTTCTCCTCCTCCAAATCAAAAACCAAAGAACCCAATTAAAATCACAGAAGGTGGATGGCTCGCTGGCGTGAAGATTGGAACAGAACTAAATACAGTGCTTCAGCCACTGCAGATGCAATAGGCATAGCCACCACCGCCGGAGAATAGCCTCTAACACCATACAATGCATATGAATGTAATTTTCTGATGAGAGAATAAAAATGGTTGAAAGCTAATTAGAAGGCGAGTTGCAGAAAGTAATAGGGAGTAGGGAAAAATTCTGTTTTGTAGCAGACATCATTTTACAGTTTCTAACTGAATAGGTCCCTTTTATGCTTGCGTTTGTTTTGCTTCGAGGATTTTGATGTTCTTGGGTTGTGGTGCCACATTGATTTCGAACTCCGGATGGAGATTAAGCATGGTGCATTTTTCTAATTTGGAAATCTTTCAGATGAAATTTGGAAGAGTTCATTTTAAGTAACAAGTTACGTACTCGAATAGCTTCTGGAAACAATTTCAATTATCCAACCAGAAACCAGATTGATTTACATATTGAGGATTTGTTGGAGCCACATTTTTTTTTTTAAATGCATTTTGCAATAGTGCTATGATGGAGAATTAGCGGTTAAAAATAAGGAAAAATGTTGAGTTTGCATGTAATATTATTTTATTGAAAAATGTGAGATTGAAATGATATCAAATCACTGTTCAAGAATTCATTTTGATAAAAAAAAGTTGGAGAGAATTTTAATTCATATACAGATGTATCATCATTCTGTCTCGCAAATTCATGTAGAAAGATACGACATATTTGTAATACCAAGCATCAGGAATACCACGTTAGCTCCCAGAAAACCTTGGGCACAGAAATAATTTAGAAGTCTTGCACAACTTTATGATTATATACCTTCACATTGGTGCTAAAACAACATTAACAGAGTCGAACTTCATGAACCACACCGAACATGCTCAACAGTCTTGCGCTCATATAGCAAAGCGTCAAAACTCAAACCAATATGTAAAATACAAGTCAATCATTGCTACATACAAAATTTCAACCATTCCTCTTCAACAATTCTCCGCTAAAGCTGATAAATGATTTTCGGCTGTTCAAGTAACACATCTTATATTTCCTGACATAATGAACCCAAGCAAGCATCCCCTAACTTAACATACAGCTTCAGCCATGCTTCCACTACTGAGTTGCTGAACTTTTTCCTTCTTCTTGGATGTGATTGAGCCGGACAGCCCTTTTAGATTTTTCCATGGTTGCCCTCTTACTTTTTCTTGGTTCTTTATCTCTTGCAAATCTTTCACCATGGATTCAAGTGGAATACTTGCAATTTGCATCTAGACAGGGTACTTTTCCCATAATATAAATTGCATATTCAATAAAAAAAAGTTAAAAAATTTAGCTTCTTGTGGTCCCTCATCCACGTTCTCCAACATTGCTTCTTCAACAGTTACATTCTCTGCCATTTCTGTACCTTGTGAGTCACTCTTGTTGCTCAAAATCAAGGCACAGATGTGACACAATTGTGGGACTCAATGGGGTTTTATGAATCTTGGGGTGATTTTCAATTGACGTTATGTGATTCTAACTGGGGTCTTTTGGTTTTTGATTTGGAGAAGGAGAAATCATTATTTCAATAATTGAAGGAGAAGTACCACCCCATCAACAGGATTTTTGTCTAGTTGCCACATTCGACACGCGGAGTTATTGTCCATCTGTAGAGACGGGACTGAGATGGGTGATGGTGGATTCCGCTGTGAATAGTTTACTTTTTTAATGAGCAAGTAGTAGCCAACTATATAAAGTTCAGCGATCAATTATTTAATTAACTCCACCCTACCCCTGCTGGTAATTTGTCTAGTAAAATGGTTGTTTGCTAATGATTATGTTTGATTAACTAAACTTTATGTAAACTAAAAATGAAAAGAAAGTGAATAAAAGAAATCCGAGGCAAGTGATTAATGTAAAGTCCCGAAAATTTTCATAAAATGGAATTAATTATTTTATATGCTATATTTTAATATTTTGAAAAGTTAGGGACTAAAGTGTATATATATTAAATTACATTTTATATGGGTAAGATATTTAGATATAAATGGAGGAATGATAAGTATATGGATATTGGGCTCGTTTGATAGATCGTAATTAATTATGTATATTAAGTTCAAGAAAAAATCGATTCGGATAAAACTAGTTTATCAAATAAATTAAAAACTTGAAAATGGATATTGTGCCACGTGTATGGGGTGTCTTATTTTAAATTTTGGGTTGTATATTTACTTGACACGTGTAGACTTTATGGTAAAGAATGTGGTTCTATATTACCTAACTTTTGACTTGTGAAAGTGGCCATGCACGTGTTGGTTGTTTGGATTGAGTAATAAAAAAAAAGGTTATTTTATTTGCATTGGAAAGAAAAAATAAATTTTTCAAAGGATCGAATAATTATTATATAATATATTCTGAGAAATTTCCTTGCATGGTACCGACAATTATGACTTTGTACTATAACACGTCGGCTGTCCTTGATTTGAAAATTGGTAAATTGCCTCGTTTGAGTGTGAAATTTATTCGTTGACAGACACATGCGCAATATAAAATT